CACACACACACACACGCATGCATGCATGCACACACGGTCATTTTGTTCTGGTGGTTTGAATGACATGTGGAGAGTTAAAGAGGGTGGGAGGCAGGGTGAACGATTAGGAAATAGCCCAGATGATAGACAATGGCATCTTTTTATTATATTCTTTTGAGACAAACTCTTGTTATGTTCCTTTGCCTGGCTTGGAACTCACTTGCCTCCCAAGTGCTGGGATTAAATGCACTCAACACCATGCTAAGCTGAGAATGGCATCTTGAACTGGGTATGGCAATGAATTGATAAAGTAGTCCCATTTTTCATAAAGTTTGAACATAAGGTGAACTGAATTTCTTGGCTGATAGGATGTGGGAAGGTGACCAAAGATTAAACAGACAAGGATATCCTCAAGGTTTTGGCCTGAGTAATTGGAAAGGTGAAATTTCTAGTGACTAAAAGGAGGAAAACATCTGTGGAATGGTAATGGGTGGGAAGATTCAGCTTTAGATACATTAAGTTATTTTGGTTGGAAAATGTAGAGGGTAGGGGTGATACATTTCTATAATCCCATCTCTCAGGAAGGAAAGTCAGAACTGTAAGTTCAAAACAAGACCAATTTTGGAGGGTGGTGCTCATGACATGTGGGGGATAGGGGTCAACATTAGGTATCTATTGATTTCTACTTTATTTTCGAGAAGGGGTCTCACTGAACCAAAGCTGTCTCACACACACACACACACACACACACACACACACACACACACAGGCATGCAGGCACATAATACAATAGTAGGTTAATGAACATCATTGCCACGTGAACAGATACCATGTTCTGATGGGGGAGGTCCTTCTGTGTATATGTTTGTCTTATTGGTTGATAAATAAAGCAATCTTGGCCAATAGCGAAGCAAGATAGGCAGGACTAGGAGAGAAGGAGGATTCTGGGAAATGTAGTAAAGAGAAGTCTTGTGATCCAGGCAGGAAGTGACATAGCAGGCAGATTCAGAATATAAGCAGGGACAAGCAGGAAATCACTCTCTTCATCCTTCTCTCTTCTCTGGGAGCCGTCATGTGAGCCCGACAAGAGAGGATGCATGCCACCAGTGTCCTCGATCACATACGTCTTTATAAAATATATAGATTAATAATTATGGTTGATACTTAAGACAGAGATAGCAGATAAGAAATCCTAGTCATTGGCCAGCAGCATTGTAATTAATATAAGACTCTGTGTGTTATTTTGGGTGCCCACATGGTGGCAGGGGCTTGGGGCTTGGCGGAAAGACTTATCGTTACAATGTCCTTTTGTTGTTTAGACATTTTAAAACAAATCTCAAATAAGTACTTGGTGTGTGTATAACATCAGGACTGTTTGCATTGAAAAAAATTCCAGTACTGTGCCAAATGACAAAATTAATAGTAATAGTTTAAAATTAACTACTTCATCTTATATCAGTAGTCTTTATTCACAGTTTGTTCAAATGGAGATATAAACAGAACATTGGATGAGCTATCTTACAACTCAGTAGGGGCTAGAGAGACAGCTTGGTGTGAAAAGTACTTACTGTGCAAACATAAGGTTGAGAGTTTGATTGCCAGAGCCATGTAAACACCAGGCACGGTGATGCATAAACATCGACACACGTACTCACACACATACTCAGTATAAAATAGTTTCTGATACATTTTATACAACTTTATTAAAGTATTTAGTTGACCAGCAGTTTCCCACAATTAGACTTGTTAATATGTATTAGAATGTCAGTTATTCTCTTCTAGTAATATGTGTGTGTGTGTGTGTGTGTGTGTGTGTGTGTGTGTATGTATATACATATATGTGACACGCACATTCATGCCCCGCTCTCTTTGGGAGAGAGGGTCTCATATTAGCTCAGACTCAGTATATAGCCACAGCTGGACTTGAACTCACATCTTCCTGGTTCTATCTCCCAAGAACTGGGATCAATACTGCACTTGTCCATATTTTCTTATTTGTGTATGTTGTATGTATGTGTGTGCGTGTATGTGAGTACACTCATCCAGATGAATCTGTAAAGAGGCTGGATAGAGGTTGACATTGAGATATCTCCCACAATTGCTTCTTTACCTTATTTTTTTTGAGACAGGGTCTCTCTCTCTCTCTGATTGAGCCTAGAGCTTTCCATATTTCTGCTAGGCTGGCTGGCCAGCCAGCTCCTGGATCTGCCTGTCCCCATTTTGGGAGTGCTGGGATTACCGATGTGCACAGTCACACATAGCTTATATATGTGCGGTGTGCAGATCCAAACTCAGGTCCTCATGCTTGCACAACAAGCACTTTATCCATTGAGCCATCTCCCCAACCCTATATTTTCTTTCTTTTTTTTCCATAGAAAGTCTCTCTCTAGGACTGGGGCTCACTAACTAGGCTAAGCTCGCTAGCCAGCAAGCCTCAGAGATCTTCCTGTCTCAGCCTCTCTCTGGTGCTGCTATTACAAGCACAAGCACATGCCATTGCACACTGGCTTTTATGTAGGTGCTGGAAATTGAACTCAGGTCTTTCTTCATGCTTATGCAGTAAACACTTTACCAACTGAGCTATCTTTTTTTTTTTTTTCTGAGACAGGGTTTCTCTGTGTATCTTTGTAGACCAGGCTGGCCTCAAACTCACAGAGATCTGCCTGCTTCTGCCTCCTGAGTGCTGGAATTAAATGTGTGCACCACCTCTGACCAGCTAAACCTCTCATTTTTTAAATATGGAAATATACTAGT